GGCAAGCCACTCCCATCCGGTCACATGGGTGGCAAGCCACTCCCACAAAGGAGCCACACCCACAGAGTAGGTTCCAACAATTTTTGAAACCCACCACTGCTGCAGTTGTTAAGTTAGTAACACGGTTGTTAAGTGAATCTGGCATCCTCACTGACCACCAAGACATGCCCATCAAACCACACCCACCGAACTGGTAGTAAAAAAAACATTGAATCCCACCACTGCATTGTAAGCATTTTTTTATCCCAAATAGCAAATTAAGTGAAGAAGAAAAGAGGAAGGGAAAGGGAAAACAGCTCTATTTTACAACGTACGATTTTCTTATTTCATCTTCCAACTTCACATCCTCTAAGAATTTATTGGCCACCATTTCCAGGGCATCTGTGGGCCATCTCTGGAACCAATCAATAGTGCAACAATTGATCAACGAAGGGAACATCCGTAAACGATTCCGGAATGCGTCTCCAATCGGGCTCATTGCTGAAAAAGAGATGATGACTCAGATCTCCCGAATCCATTATTAGCATGATTCCTGATCTAATGTTGGCTGGAGGGGTTGGATCATGAGGCCCCATCCTGGTCACATTTAAAGAAATCAGGCTGAAAAGGAACAGGCTTCATACTTAAGCAAGCCACCGTTTAACTTATCCAAAATTTGTCTTATTGACAAACACCATCCTTCTTTCCCCCCACAATGTGCTCAATAAATAAGCAGCAAGGTTTATCAATATCTAAATATCTTTTTGTTTCATACACTCAATTAAAAATCGATGTATCTTCTCTAACTATAGATTTTTTTCTTGAGACGTTCAATCAAAATGTCCTAGAGCTAGCCATTTCTAGTATACTTTTCTTGAGATGCTTAATCAAAAGGCCCTAGAGCTAGCCACACCTAGAACAATCTGTAAATTTTTCTTGAGCTTCTGAATCAAAAGCTTTAAACCTAGACATACCTAGAACAATATGTATATTTTTCTTGAGATACTGAATCAAAAGACCCTACAACTAGATATACCTAGAACAACGTACATCTTTTTCTTGAGCCGCTTAATCAGAAGCTATAGACCTAGACATACCTAGAACAATATGTAGATTTTTTTTTCCTTGAGCCACTTAATCAAAAGCTGTAGATCTAGACATACCTAGAACAATGTGTAGATTTTTTTTCTTGATATGTGAATCAAAAGGACCTAGAACTAGCCATACCTAGAACAATATGTAGATTTTTCTTCACACGCTCAATGAAAAAGTTATACATTGCCAAAGGGGTGGCTTCGATTCTTCTCCCTTCGGTCCTCGCCGCGGTCTGCATTTTCTCCACAATGTCCGCCTTCTCATCCGCTGCAAAAATGTTAGGCACGTCCCCCGTGTTCAGAAGCATGTTGATGTCCTCCACGAAAGACTCGTCTTTGATCTGATTGTCACAGAACAAGAAGACCGTGCTCTTGTTGGCCACCCCCGATTGCAACATGATCTTCTTAACGTCCTCTCTCCATTCGTTCATGGCATAGAACTTGGTGATCTCAATCATGAAGAGCTCGTAAGAGTTCATGAAGGTGCCCAGCTTAGTGGCACTCTGCCGCCCGCTCCCGCCTATGCCCACCAGCAGCAGATGGCCATTGTCTTGCTTTAGGACGCGACAGATGCGGGAAATGTGCTCGATAGCAAACTTAAACATGACCAAAGGCATGGGAGCCTTGCTGATGTTGTTGAATTCCTCCAGGTAGTACTCCATGACCGATGTCAGCTTGTGCAAATCCGTGATCTCATCGTAGACCTTCTTGTCACTGGATGGCTTGGAATAGTCCCCAAAAAAGAGACTCCGGATGTTGTCATCCGTGATTTTGCCAGTACGAGACAGATGGCTTAGTACCTAGAGAAGAGGTAGAAGAGGACCCTAGATAAATAGGGCTTTTTTTTTCCTTACAAGGGCAATTTACTCGGGGTGGGGAGCATCTCAAAGGAGTTAGAAGCTCACCTGTGGATACCTGCCTATACCTCCTCCGCGCAAACCACTCCCCACAACAGCTTAAAAAGGCTCACCTTATCGACACTCTGTTTAAAACAGTCGGAAGTCGTTTCCTTCATCATATTAAAAAACACTTCTCTGTCATCGGCATCGATCAAGCGGTCATAAAAAACCCGATAAACTTCATGAATCCAAAGCCTGATCAGCTTTTCTCCATCCTGCCGAAAGAAAGAAAGGACGGGAAAAGTATTTTTTTTAAAAAAAGATTTGCAAGATCAAATCGGGGACAGAGGAGACAGATACAAAAAAATCTTCTTGGTTCACTTGGCCAATAATGAGGAGCATTTGTTGAGTTCAGACGTAGAAGAATTTATTATTGCTACTTATACACAAGTCTAGTCAACTAACAGCCAAGCTAAATTGGCAGTAGATCGTGGTCAATGGAATTCACAGGGAGATGGGCTTGAGTCTCTTGTGGCAACGCAACGACTCCAAACTAATGATGTGTTTAACTCCGCCCTCCAGCTCAGTCTGCTCACCTCCTACATCACCACTTTGATCTGTCAGAATGTCTTTAGTAAATGTTACTGAACAGGTATGAGCTACTCAAGGCTCAAAGTAAGCAATTTTCTAGGGTGCCCCAAGTTTCCTCTAACCCCACACAAAAATAGCAGGAGGTTTATCTATCACTTTGAGGCAGGAAGCCCTAACATTGGTTTTATGTCTGCGACAAAAACGAAAAGATAAAAGTCACCTATGTGTTTTGGGATTCTATACCATGCAAGGCAGGGGTGGGATTCAGCCAGTTCTGACCGGTTCGGGCAAACTGGTAGTTCCGGTGAGCATTTGGCCCCGCCCCCTGCTTTTAGCTATCCTATATTTCCCTGTTTTTTAGCTCAGCTGATGTGCACAGTATAGCGGATTGCTGCACATCGTCCGCTTTATTCACAGGCGCTGACATAGAAGGTAAGTTCTGGAGCTTAAAAAGGTTGTTTTTTGAATGCTACACACACACACACGTGAAGCACACACTCATCGAACTGGTTGTTAAACTGGTTGCATTCACTGCTGAAATACACCATGTAAGCCAAGCGGAGAGATAGCAGTAGACTTAGAGAGAGTGGAAGGGAAAGAATAGGAGGGGAAGAGAGGGAAGAAGAGGTGAGGAAAAGAGTTGGGGAGAGAGGAGGAGTGGAAAGAGGGGAGAGGAGGAGGAGAGAGGAAGGGGAAGTAGAGAAGAGAGAGATGGTATAGGGAAGCAAGGAGGTAGAGAGGGAGAGGAGGTAGTGCTGGTGTGGAACAGGGTATAATATGGTGTATGGAAAGCAGAAGAGCAAATGAGAGTTATTGTGGGTAGATGGTGAGAAGAATTGATATAATATTGGATAATACATAATAGTGTTTGTTAAGATGTAATGGTATACTTGTGGATACTTATATGAAAATGAAAATAAAACATCCACCACTGATACAAGGCATATACAAATAGAGGAGAAGGCCAAAGGACATGAGGCAGACTCAGAAGATGGAAAGATAACATCAAAGACATGCTACAACAGCAACAAATAACAATGGTGGAGATTGCCAGAGGTAGAAGAACCAGAACCTTGTATGTCCCTTGACACCCAAAGTGGTAAAAGAGAAGGAGAAAGAAGAAGGTGGGGGAGGAGGAGGAGGAGGAGGAGGAGGGGAAGAAGGAGAAAGAGGAAGAGGAAGGGGGAGGAGGAGGGGGAGGAGGGGATGAAGAAGGAGAAGAAGGAAGGGGGGAGGAGGAGGAGAGGAAGAAGGAGAAAGGGTAAGGGGAAGAGAAGGAGGAGAAGGAGAAAGAGGAAGGGGGAGGAGGGGGAAGGAGGAGAAGAAGAAGAAGGAGAAAGAGGAAGAGGGAGGAGAAGGAGGAGGAGAAAGAGGAAGGGAGAGGAGGAGGGGGGAAGGAGGGGGAGAAGGAGAAAGAGGAAGGGGGAGGAGGAGAAGGAGAAAGAGGAAGGGGGAGTAGAAGGAGGGGAAGAAGAAAGAGGGAGGGTGAGGAGGGGGGAAGGAGGGGAAGAAGAAGAAGGAGACGGAGAAAGAGGAAGGGGGAAAAGAAGGTGGAGAAGGAGAAAGAGGGAGGGTGAGGAGGGGGAAGGAGGGGAAGAAGAAGGAGAAAGAGAAAGGGAGGAGGAGGAGGAGAAAGAGGAAGGGAGAGGAGGAGGGGGGAAGGAGAGGAAGAAGGAGAAGGAGAAAGAGGAAGGAGAAGAAGGAGAAAGAGGAAGGGGGAGGAGAAGGAAGAGGAGGAGAAAGAGGGGTGAAGGAGGGGAAGAAGGAGAAGGAGAAAGAGGAAGGAGAAGGAGGAGAAGGAGAAAGGGGAAGGGGGAGGAGAAGGAGAAGGAGGGGAAGAAGAAGGAGAAAGAGGAAGGGGAAGGAGAAGGAGGAGGAGGAGGGGAAGAAGGAGAAGGAGAAGGAGAGGAAGAACACACCTGTAAATGTGTATGCGGGCACAACAGCACCCCTCGAATCACCCGGGAGAAATCACGCAGATTAAAGACGTAGTGAGATTTCGAAGGGGTGGGAAGGAAGTTCTCCATGGCCAGCTTGTAGATATTCATGGTTGCATGGACCAGCATTTTGCCCAGCCTTTCAAGGAAAAAAAAAATAAGAGCCAAAAGGAGAGGCGATTATGAGTCAGGAGAATATAAAGCCACGGATCCAGCAACGTAGGTTGGAAAGGAGACGTTCACCTTAGGAAGGCGGCCTCAAAGCCTTTGCCGAAATGCCAGTCTACGATGGAAGCGAAAATCTTGGTCAAAACCTCGTCATCGAAAGAGCTGATAGAGATGATGTTGAGATGTCGCAGGAAGCGCCCTGGAGATGCAAGCAGAGGAGAAGATCACAAGACTGGACACTCTGCATCTCCCTCTAGGTCACCTTAGGAAGGTATTTGAGTCTATTGGCAAACTTTTCTTAAACTACTATTGTCCGAATGTAGCTTCTTTTTTTTAAGCTTTTTTTCAGTCCTAATGAGGCGCTAACGAGTGAAGAGATCTTCCGGGCTTCCCCTACTTTTCTCATCACTTCTCTCTCCAATGATCAGCTGTGCTTTAGAAGCTGGTTTTTTATCCCCAACCAGGGAATAAAAAGCGTGTGCGTGTGCGCTCAAAACCAGCAAACTTATATGCTGCAGCTCACCCGACTAAGGACACTAGCCAGATGAATACCTGGTAGGCTGAATTTTTTCCCCCTATTTTCCTCCCCCAAAACTAAGGTGCGTCTTATACTCCAGTGCGTCTTATACTCTGAAAAATACGGTAAGCTCATGCCAACTGCTTCAGTGACTCCATCCAGCCCCCTCCTTCTCTGTCGTCCCCTTTTTCTTTTGCCTTCCATCTTTCCCAGCATGAGGCTCTTCTCCAGGGAGTCCTTCCTTCTCATTGGGTGGCCAAAGTCTTTGAGTTTCCTCTTCAGGACTTCTAAAGAGCAGCCAGGGTTGATCTCCTCTAGGACTGACCGGTTGGATGGCCTTGCAATCCTTCTTCTTTTGCCCTCCATCGTTCCCAGCATGAGGCTCTTCTCCAGGGAGTCCTTCCTTCTCCTTAAGTGGCCAAAGTCTTTGAGTTTCCTCTTCAGGATCTGGCCTTCTAAAGAGCAGCCAAGGTTGATCTCTTCAAGGACTGACCTTGCAGTCCAAGGGACTCACAGGAGTCTTCTCCAGCACCAGAGTTCAAAGGCCTCCATACTTTGGCACTCAGCCTAATTTCTAGTCTGACCCTATTCAACTTACCGCATCTTCTTGAGTTGGAGCATACTCCCTACCTGTAATATCGTTTCTTCCACCCCCGGGAGGACCCATGGCTGAAAGGAAGAGGACGTCCACAATATCCAACCTTGTGGTATCTTTCTTATCGTACCAGTGGCCGTGGTTCATCCATTGCCGAAGGAGTTCAATTGGGGGCTGAGCCCCGTATATTTCCTTAGCTGGCATGTTTAAGTCATCTAGGAAAAATAAGGTTATGCTTGAGACAGCTGGGAAAACCTAGATATTATTTTTCACACAAAGGTAGGAAGAAGGGTTGATACATTTAAGTAAAATGCAGAGACATTTTAGACATATTTGGGAAGGATACCGATTGATAAATTTATTGTACATTGATATGTTTTATTAATGTATTTATTGAGGCATAGCGGATTAATTGAATAGTCCACCTTCACCCCATTGTATACTTGTTTCTTCCTTTTTTAATTTCTGGTCATTCTGAATGTTACTATTTATCATTTTAAGGTTGTTAAGGTTTTACCCTGCTGTAAGCCAGCCAGAGTGACTTGATAGCAAGACCGGCAGCGTATAAATTCAATAAATAAATGAATGAACAATTTTAGTTATCCAAGAAGAGCAACAATGGAATGGTTGGGGGTTTTTTTAAAAAAAAGAAGAACATTGAGATTGCCGATGTTAATCAGTCCAGACAAAAAGGAAAAGAAAAGATTTCTAGAAACCTGGAAAACTGCATTTTGTGATTTATATTCTTCGACGCTTGATTAATGCAAGTTTGAAATATTTTAGGTTTTCATGTTTCAGAACATATTAAAGATAAAAGTAAAGGTTTCCCTCGCACATATGTGTTAGTCGTTCCCAACTTTAGGGGGCGGTGCTTATCTCCATTTCAAAGCCGAAGAACCAGTGCTGAACGAAAACATCTCTGGTCATTTGGCTGGCATTACTAAATGCCAAAGCCGCACGGAACGCTGTTCCCTTCCCATCAAAGGTGATCCCTATTTTTCTACACGCATTTTTATGTGCTTTCGAACTGCTAGGTTGGCGGAAGCTGGGACAAGTAATGGGAGCTCACTCCGTTACGCGGCGCTAGGGATTCAAACCGCCGAACTGCCAACCTTTCTGATCGACAAGCACGGCATTTCCCGAGTTGAAACATGACTCGGGAAGGATGTGGGAATTGAGAAAGTCCCAAATCTGAAAGAAAATGACCAAAAAGATAAAGCTTCTTCTCTAACCTACAAAGACGACAGCTTTTTTTCCTATGGTGGGACCAAACAGCCCTTTCCGTCTTCTGTCCAGTTTTGACATGATAATATCCTGGGTTTGATTGGCGGAGGTCCTGGCAGAGAAGTTGACGACATTGGGGATATATTTGGCCTTGGGAAGCTGGATCAGAAAGCTGTTGGTGATGGCCGATTTCCCTGTCCCAGTGGCTCCCACAAACAGCAAGGGGATCTCGTGCTCCACATAAGTTTTGAGAAAAAAGGATTGCCGGGCAGTTTCTGTGGTGGGGATGATCAGTTCGGAGACCTGTAGTAATGATGAGAGGAGATGCTCAGAAGATGCTCAGGAGAAAGTTCTCCCACGTTTGTCATCTACTTCCAAAGCAAAGGCATGGAGAGTTACCGTATTTTTCAGACTATAAGACACACCTTTTTCCCTCAAAAAAGAGGGTGAAAATCTGGGTGCCTTTTATACACTGAATACAGCATTTTTAGCCTCCCAAAACCCTGCCCTTTCACCAAAACGGCCGTGCACAGGCTTTAGGAGGCTTCCAGGGTGCTACTAGGGGCTGGGGAGGGTAAAAATGAGTGAAAAACAGGTCGTTTTTTTCTCGTTTCCCCCCCCCCCCAGCCCACAGGAGCAATCTATAAGCCTCCTAAAGGCTAGGCATGCCCATTTGTTTGACAAAAAATGGGGCGATTTTTGCAAAAAACGGGCCCATTTTTGCAAAAGACGGGCCCATTTTTGC